CTATTGGCCGGTCTGTGTCTTATGACGCTGGTTATTCTGGGAATTATGGGAGAACGTTGAGTTCGAGTTCATCAAGTTACTCTTCGTACACCCCGAGTCCACTCGGCTGTCCACCAACTACACACGGTCCCTGAGTTTAACAGCGGACATAGGGGGCCCGCTACTGGGGTATTCTAGATCAACCTCTCTGAGAAACTCTAGTTTAAACTCTAATTATAGATCAACTAGCTCGAGCGGGCTCTCAAATTACTCGTCTGTGTACAGACCGAGGTACGTACCGTCCTCGACTTCAACCTACTCGTACAAGACAACAGCTCTGTAAAGCACGGAGAGAAATCTCTGGCTTCAGAAATTATGAAGGAAAATATGAACCCGTAACAAGAATGATGTGAAACCAACTCGTACCCCCCCCCCCCTCAACTCCCTCAAGAATTCGTCACCAAGTCTTGAATGCTGCATTTTGAGAATTCAATTTTGTGGGATATAACAAAATAAGGAAAGTAACATTAGACATTTTACTATCGTTACGTAAAGAGATGTAGTCTCTTACCTCGAAAAGGATTGTCAATGATCATGTTTTAAGTGAAGTTTATTTTATCTCAAGAAAAAAAAACAGTACATTGGTGCCATATCCTGTACAAGGTGTATAAAATCCGGTGCTAGAATGTTAGCAATCGTCAGTACCAAAGTTGCCTAAACTTTTATGGATAAAAGACTTCAAGTGCTCTCATAACTGTAGACAAGTAGTCATCCTTCGTTTTTAAACGAACTGGTTTAGTACGGTTGTAGGTAAACTATCGGGAATAAAAGAGGATGTGTTACCGGTGAAATGACTCCGGTTTTGTTTACTTTGTTTTCGTACATCAATAACACTTAGAAAACACAAGAAAAATGTTGTGTTGAACAAAAACAACAGTATTGTTATATCCACCAGGCTTAGTTCAAATTCGAGGGGATTCATTCCTCAGCTAACAGACATCTTGCACACGCAGTCGTCCCTCAGTAAGACATCTGGAGCCGTATAGTTCCCGTTGAGAACTTTTATTCAGCCTGTCACACGACCGGTTTCGCCTGTGTGGCTTCTTCAAGTGTACAGAGGCTAAATGACACAAGTAACATGAAGTTCTAACTTATATACCTTTCTAGTGCATAGACGAAATGTTGCCTCTCTATCCCTCTTTTACAGATATTTTCATGGTCATTGCTCTGCAGAACTCACCCAACTAGTTCAACCACTCAGAACTTTAAGCGTTCCACTAGGTTTTCCACTAGCTCACACAACTTCACCGTCCAAATTCCTTGTTAGAAATCGTTTTACAGTGACAGTTTCTTTCCCCGTACGGCCAAGCTTTGGAATTCCCTCCCTGACAAGTGTTTCCCACCAACCTACAATCTACAGGCTTTCAAATCAAACGTTCACCGCCATCTCTTGACATAGCCATGTTTCTCTCATATTTCTAGTTCAATGCCGAGAAGTGGTCGTATAGGCCTTGAATTGAACCACTCCGTTAAAAAAATGCCTTATCAGTTAGATGAGTCCGTAGTGCTCTTCATCTGGTTTACTTCACAACACCATTTCTTCAACTTCAAAACCTGTTGGGTCGTGTGGCGTGACTGCAAAGTGCTCGACTTGGAACCAAGAGGTCTCGCGTTCGAGTCCTGTCAACGATCTTTCGTGGAAATTAAAGGCACTTGACGCGACTTTCCCCAATAACTCAAGTGAAAATGAGTATTGTCTTGTATTTGTCCTCTGCATTGGAGGTGGAATAAAATTATTAAGGCCATATTTATTTGATTATATGGATGACATCCACTCGCGAATGAATTTTCGTCCGTTTAAAAAAAAGTTTTCGTAAAAAGTAGCTGCAAATAAGCAAATACATGCCTTAAATTGAAAAACAAAATATTGGAAAACAATGCTTATGCTGCAGAATGCCCAATTGCAAATCCATTGAAAAGGGGCAAAAAGAAAATGCAAAGGAATGAAAATGAGTCTATTATACACCATGTCAATAAAAAATATTACTCTGTGTGTTTAGTCATTTGTTTTCAACCTTCATGGCCACCTAGATTTCATAATGAAGGAAACTTTTTTTGCCAAACTTTATTTTTATCCGCACGCTCGCTTCAGTTTTGGGGTTCCCAGAGGCTGTCATCCATATAATCATGGCCTAACTTGAAAAAAAACTTGAGTGTGTGCCGTCAGCATGTGTTGTCATGAATTGTGGGAATAAATACAACAAGACTGGCAATGAAAACATACATTGCCATGGCGACGGTGGTTGCTGTTAGGGTTATTGTTTGCATGGCACTGCCGTCATTTCATGATCTTGAGGAAGACTTGGTGTCTAGACAGATACAGTGCACTTCTCCCCTGAGTGTATAGTGAACGAGCCCCGGGGTCACAGAAAGTAGGGCCATCTGGGGCAGAGAGGTTTTCCCAAGGGTTCCAGGAATGTGGGCATAGATGTGGGTCAGAGACATGCCTGTGGACATTCCGTTCCTATGGACAAAATGCCTGTACCATTCCTAGAATTCTTGCAAACTGCACACAATACTGTACCATTAGGCTCCTCCCTGAGACGTCGCCAAAAAAGTAATATAAATAAAAGTCACTCTCTCTCTGAATTATACTGCCCGTTGACGTGTTACTTTTATTTGAAGAATTACCCTATCCACCCATATACGCCTGTCAAAATCCCTACGTAATCAAAATGAAGTCTCGCGTTATTTCAGGAGAAGGTTACCACATAAATTTCTCTCAGCAGAGGAACGAATTCACAAGAATTGCACGATAATCTATTGCTGGTATATACAACGTCGTTTAGTGAACTACATGCCTACATTGAAGTCATAATTTATTTATGTCAGTGACATTTCCAAACACATACGAGTTTATATTCTATTCAATATTTGATTGGGGACACGCCAAAAGGGTTTTTGAATTGATTCGATCATATTTATTAAGATTATCTTAATATATGGACTTATTATATATTGTGTTTATTGACTTCGTTCATTTTACACTAAAATACATGGCAGCGTCATCTGTTATTTTGTACAGACGCTGAATTGCGCATTTTAGGCATCTTAACATTACATAACAAGAATTCGGAGATCTCATACCTCCATGAAATATATGAGTTTTGTAAATGTTTTTACACAGTACACTACAGTACAGAACAAAATAACACAGATATGGCCTGAAATAGGTCAGGTTGTAATTGATATGGTCAACTGTACAAGTAGCCTATTCCATAGGGAGAACCTCATTAATCAGGCGCGCTGTCTCCATACGTGTGCTGGTGTTTTGTTGCATGACCCGCATATCTGTTTTCCCTGCCTTGAAGTTCTGCTGCAGTACCAAGGTCAGCCACCAGGAGGCCCATATTTGACCTTGACCTTTGGCTTCCTAAGACCTCTCAGCATATAAAATATCATCAAAATCCGTAAAGGCGTTCTGAAGTTATGACTACAAATGACTAATCACACCCAAGAGGTTGAGGGTTCGAATCCTGCCCTATTTGTGCCCTTAGGGAAGGCACTTTACACGACTTTCACCACTTTACTCACTGTACCTAGCTTCGGTTAGGGACGTCCCTCGGATAGGACGTTAATTGGAGGCTAGCTCCCGTGTTTGGGAGAGCCACACCCCACGCACGTTAAAAAACCCACCGCACTAATCGAAAAGAGTAGGGGACCTTCCCGGTGTGAGTGGTTCAAACTTTACAGTCTGGTCTCAGGTTTGACATCTTTGAAGAGGTGATTATCCGGATTGACATTCCTTCCACTAATGTGGTCAATCTTCATAAATAAATAAAAAAATAAATATTTGATACTGCCTTGCCAACATGGTACCGCATTGCCTATTTGATACTGTCTTGCCAATTTGATACTGCCTTGCTACCATCAAAAGATATATATGCTTGGACATTATCAATGAATATATCTTGCCTGTGTGCTTGATTGAAATATGAGCGTCTGGGTTTTACAAAGATACGATATAAAATCAAAAAGCATTGCTTTTCCACAAGGAGACAAGCTATTGCTTTGAATAAAAAAACCCGACAGTTTCATAGTTTTTTTCGGGTCCACACGGACACCATGGTGAGTGCCAGCTTGATAACATTAGAAGCATTTCGGATAAGGAAAATTTATTGCCCTTCTCAACATGTACGCATGTACAATCTTTGTGCTGAGCTGAAGGAGCATACATCTTCCTCTGGCTGCTTCTGCGTTTGGATGATAAACACAACTTGTGAGAAGAGTTAGTCAGGAATTGCTGCGACGCTTTTGTCTGTGTAAAGTCCCTTTAAAACCCGCACTTCTGCAGTAGAATGATAAAACGAAACTTGCAAAATGAATGGCTGACAACTAGCGCGATACATTTGTCAGTTTTAAGTCCGTTTTTACAGACTGTTTTGTCCCAAGCAAACTGGGAATGCCAGCACTTGCCGAGATAAGTAACAGCGTTCAAAGCTTAGCCAGACGTCATTTATCACTGGACATTGACGTTAACCATAGGATCTCAACGGGGGACTTTTGTACCTAGTCTTGTAGTAAAACGTATGTTGACAGCCATGACAAAACTAGAAATGTTTCTTTTACTAGGATATACGATCAGAGAATTGGGTGGCTTTCCTATACTGTATTTATCTTTAACGAATCTTTATTGACGCCCATTTACACTGCTTTTTCTTTCAGATAGTGTCAGATGCCGCTACTCAGTCCATGTATCAGTCCATGTCTTGTGTTTGTGTCCAAGTATACAATCTGCTACTTAAAGACATGTAATAAATGACAAGAGATAACGCTTAATAGACTCTTTGATGATGAGGCCTTGGGGTTTTGAGAAAATATGCGACGTATTTTGACATTAATTATGTCGGGAACTAGCTGTGGGCTCGTGTGGCGTAACGACTCTACTCGGAACCAAGAGGTCCCGGGTTCGAGTCCTGACATGCCACAGATCTTGTGCCCTTGGGAAAGGTACTTTACACGACTTTCCTCACTTTGCTCAGGTGAAAATTAGTATTGTCCCCTGTGTTGGTGGCAGCATTAATTTAAGTTGAAACAAAAATTGAGTGTGCCGTCACCACACCTTGTGATTACATGTGTTGGAATCTTAAAAAAAAACTAGATTTTGCCATTAACTGTAGCAATTTTCTCAGTGATATTGCAAATTACTAATTAACTTAATTGAAACACTCGTACCTTACAACATTAATTACAACGCAAATCACATGTTAGATGAGTATGAGCTTTTTATCATAGAACACAAAATGATTGTGTTTCGATAGTCATCGCAGATATGATGCCTTTATTAGCATAATTAGCTATTGAGGTATTAAGTAAAATATAATATGTTTTCAGTACAGCAATCTGTATATCATAAATATGCAATCAAAATCTTCTGTCACATACATTTGCATCAACTAATGATTTGGGATAAAATTAGAATTAAACTTTTAGCCTCCTTTCTAATACCTCTTATACTAATGTACATCGCGACCTACGTTTTTCAATGAATTTTATTTTTCACAAAAAGTTGTCATTATTGAGTACTTAGTCTTAGAAATTCAATATTTCCTTGAACTAAGAATGGTCATATACACGTACAGAAAAAGACAACTTGCTCTTTGGAAAGGTAGCTACTGAATTGATAGTAGACAGATGTCTTGTTCTTTTAGTTAGTATACACTGCTTAAAGGGGCATTACGTAACATTTTTGCACCAAAAAAGAAAAAAAATGTTTTTTTTTTCTTAATTCTTTGTGTTATTGTAATTTCACAGTTCCACTTTTCAACATATTTTGGCAATTGTCTCACATTTGTGACATTTATGCATGGTTGGCGCTAAAACAGCCCACACGAGGCGCACTCAGTTTGTGGTGCCACCACAAAATACCAGAGTGTAAACAAACATGGCTGACAGCTGTGTTTTGAACTTTATAACACACTTCTAAGGCGCCATACTTTGAGTAGGGCTGATTGATTCAACTTGCTTTGTAAAGAAATGAAGAAGAAATTTAAATTTTTGCGTCGTCCAAATGTTACATAATGCAGCTTTAAAGAAAGTATGTTTTTATGGCACCATGTGTAATATTTCATGCCCTCATATATCATATAACTAGCTGCTCCTCTGGGAAATCTTCTAAAGAGGTTTTTCTTATTAACGTTCTGTGAGACAACGAGGTGTGTAGTGATTAAGCGCCCCTTTCTGGGTTGATGTATCAATCACCATGCTTATAAAACCTCCGTCGTATTGAAGAAGTCAGCACCAGTTGTCACATTATTGAACACATAATAGAATGAAATATGGAATGTACCAAATATGATGTTATACGTAACAAGCTATTTACATTTCTCGAATCAAGTACAACAGATTTCAAGAGTCTCGGTGTTGTAGACAGATTTGAATATATCTTTACATGTAATGGTCCCACAACGCAGGTAGATATATAAAGGACTGCTTTGTTATTAGAAAAAATACCGAAACTTGTGATTAGTCCACTCGATTGTAACACTTTATCAAAGACTTGTGCTATCCCTTATTATTTGAATAATTATGATATAGATATGGTAGGTTTTATTCGACATTAGGTCTTACTCAACACATTTATTTTATTGTTCGTTACTCTCTTTAAGCAGTTTGCCATACATTGTACCATGTGCAATTGTTGTGCAATAAAGTTCTTTCATAATGCAGTTTCAAAAATTCTCTTTCAATAATCACAATATTATCAAGACAGTTGATTTCACACCTTGTTAACATTCTGGACAAATATTCTGGATTGACTAAATGAGATATGAAAATGTTTATGTACTACATACATGTAGTAAAGGGATATGATTTGACAAGACGGATATAGGGATGGGGGTGGCGAAGTTATAGCCATGTATTTAGCGTAAGGCCAGAGCACGTAAATTTTATGGATGTCATCTTCCACAGATTCCAAATCTGACGCGAGCGGGCGAAAAAAAAACAAGGCAGGCCGAAAAAAACAAGATTCCTACAATTTATAATTTTGACTCAATCATTGTACAAATGGTTTTGATTCAGTGGGAACATCACATATACACAGCCAACATCACATATCACTGCATCAAAGTAAGAAACAAAACATTTAATCAGAGCCTTGTCTTGTCTCCTCTCTTCATAGTTTGAACAGACATATTTGCCCATTTTCGGCCTGTAGACCACTGTCAGAAGGCGACAAAATTTCGTGTTTTTTTTACCAAATCAGGCGAAAATTAATGCCTGCGCTGATGTCATCCATAGAAATTACTTGCTGTGGCCTAATCGTAAAATAAATGACTGGTTGTCTTTTGCTCGTGAACGCAGAACGCTACAGGCTATACTGCTATACAGTTGCCTGGCCTGTGATAAGAGAACAGAACATTATAAAGTACAGACGATATCAAACAGAAAGAGGTGTTTAAACTGTAATATCACTCCCCCGCAGCTATCAATGGCCTAGTTTTACATTGAGAATCACATAATGGGATGAAATACACGAAGAATGTAGATTTGATCACTCTACAAATGGAGCACAAAACATAAAATATTGTGCACTTTGGTCAAGGTGCTTGTTGAGAAATATCATAGTTTACTGGAAAATGCCACGTATATACAACCTTCAAATCTTCCACTGGGGAACATTTGTAAAGTTTTCATATTCTTCTTGTTCCATATATATATATATATATATATATATGATGTTGCAAAACTTTGTAAAAGTTAAAGCGCGTCCGACTGCCTTCGCTTGAGTTCATCTTGCTTTCTTTGTTTGTTTATAATGTATGCGTCACTAACATATCATTCCTGTACAGATATGTGACATGATAGCACTTTTCTTGTCTGACAAAAGACAATTCACGGTCACAGTTAGTTCATATATATACACGAATATATGCAGGGTTACTATCAGTGGTTACTGTAGCTAATACGTTTTGTTTCTATAATAAGATCAAATCGAATGTGGGGAGATTGCCTAAAAGACGTAAGCGTTCATTTATTACCTTCGCCAAGAATTTCATACTTATGGTATTTGAAAGTTCATTGAAGGTGAACATCATTTAAACATAATGTATTCAAATTAGGACCTCATTTGCATAATTTATGGCAAAATGCTAGAATGGCATTGTTTGTTAATATAAGACTGCTTTTGGTTGAGAATATGGTAAACTGATATAATTCATGAAAATGAGGATCCTATTTTCACAATCAGGGGAATAATCTATAATTTGTCAGCCATAAAGATTAACATCGTTTGGCGAAGGTATGAGATCTGGGAACTCTAGTTTGCTATGTAGAGGGCAGTTATCCAATACTCCAATGCTATTACTCAATGTAATAGGCGAGCCAGTAGACGACATTGAAGATGCCGAAGGTGAATGGAAACATGGCGCGGGACAGTCTGTCGATGTTGCTGACGTTGTCCTCGGACTCTGCTCGGTACAGGATGTTGTTTCTCATGCACTTCACCACCTGTGGCCACCAGCGGCCCCGGAACACACTGCAACATCCGGTCTTCTCCTTCACTTCGGCTCCTCCCTTTCCGTTTCCGGCGGAAGTGCCCTGCTGCTGAATAACAAGGTATACAAAAACAAAAACAAAGTATATTCAACAATCATTCAATTTCACAATGGAATGTCACTTATTACGCGAAGGAATAAGGGGCAAGATTTTATGCTGTTATCTGAAGTCCTAGGACACCAACTATCAAAATCACGTGCACCTCCCAACCTCCATGAAACCGTCGCACTCGGACAAACATACAAACAAACCCACAGCCAAAAGAATACGCGGAGGTAAATATGAGTTTGAGTTCATTAGGATACACATTTAGCATACATGACAGTGGCTTTTTTTATATTCCAACATGCAATCACAAGACGTGGTGACGGCACACTCAAGCAAATTTTTTCAACTTATATTAATGCCACCACCAACACAGGGACAGTACAATGCTCATTTTCACCTGAGCGAAGTGAGAAAAGTCGTGTAAAGTGCCTTGCCCAGGGGCACAAGATCGGTGGCATGTCAGGACTCGAACCCGTGGCTTCTTGGTTCCGAGTCGAGCACTCTGCCGCTACGCCACACGCGACCCCATAGAAGCTTTTCTTCCTGTGGTCCGTTATATCACCTTGACAACTAGATATAAGTACATAAACAGTAGAGCCATACCTCATTATCATAATCCTCGTTTTCGTCCTGCGAGTTGCGGATTGGCGGAGGCGAGGGCTTCCTCATGGAGAAGTAGTTGACGCATGCGTACTCCACCTGCACATTAAGCATTACACAATAAGCATCAATTAATACATCAATTAATAATATTACAATATACAGTTAACCAAAAAAGCAACTATGTACTAAATGACCTCTCAGACATTGATGCTTGTTGTGTAATTTACTATTAATTCATGCTTAATGAGTGATTTACTATGTAGATAAGATAAGTTTTATTGATAGCAGTTAAACGTGTATGTAAATAATAGTTAATGTATTTTATGTAAAGGACTCCAGGAAGAATAGCGATGTTTCATCACTAATGGAGCTTCCTAAATAAATAAACAAACAAACAAACAAACCAGGGAGGCGAAGACGAAGGCGAAGCAGACAGCGATGAACCAGTCCATGGCGTTCGCGTAGGACACTTTGGGCAGGGAGTGCCGCGCACTGGTGCTCAGGGTCGTCATCGTCAGCACTGTCGTAATACCTACAGGTGTCGTAAAATCAGAACATTAGCATTAGCATTTTTTATGAATGAATGAATGGCGACCTGGAGAATGAATGGAGACAACATCTAACAAACAAACAACTCTATGGCTCTCTCCCGCCCATTTCATCTGTAGTCTGACGACGTAGACTTGCCCTGACAGGGCATGTTGTTCGTAGTAACGAACCAGCTGGTAGACTAGTATAGTGGCTTAATACTGGGAGACGTAGAGTGGGACGTCCTTATGCTACACTTTTGTCCATGTTAGAGAGAGACACTGGTCTCGCAGGGACTGCATTAGTGTCCGCTATGAGAGATAGGACATACTGGAGTAACTTTATCAAGTGTGCCTCACCGGATTAGTATAATCCGGAGACATGATGATGATGAATGGCGACCTTTATTGCACATTTTTGCCACACTGGGCTAAGTACAGTTCAAAACAAAACATGATGAAAAGATATATACAAAATAAAACTAGCTATTATTACATACATTGAATTTCTCGCTTTTCAGTTATAGTAGAGGTACAAAGAAACAGATATGTTTTTCAATGGAAGGTTTGTCAAGTCGCATTAGGAATATGAGTTTTTCTGCAGTGCTCAAGTGTATGAAGTAAGTACTATACAGATCATTTCTCTCTTTACTATATAATCTACTTCTATAACAAAGTGATACACTTCCTCTATTCTATTCAAATTACATTTACATAAAATGATGGGAAAACTGCTACACTAGAGCAAGTATGCACTAGGCTTGTGCAACACAAAAGAGTAAGTTCGGGCGGCGGAAATTAGTATATTGATTATTTAGGACAGGTCTTGACTTAAGGTCTCTGACCCTGTAGGTAAACGACCTGTAATGACCTGACTAATCATTCCTGTCCGGTCTAGAAAATCTGTTATATCAAATACCTGGTGAGAGATCTGCCTAACAGCACCTCCCATTACAAGTGGGGTTTCTCTCTCTTGGCTTGGCTTGTGGGGTTTAGAGTTGCAATATTTGTCAATGGTCAATGTTCTTAATGAAACTGAGCTAAACGGTGTCCTGGTCAGAATGCTACCACGCAGCTTAATGTGATGTCTCCATCAAGAGGCCTTATTGACATCAAAACCTCAATTATTTTGTAATTTACGTCTTTGAAATGCATGCCAAAACAATAATAAGGAACAAATTGCAAAGGGGCCTATTCTGGGGGCTACCCTATTCTGTCCATCCGCAGCCTCTGTGCAAGTACGAGTACCAGTACAAACTCCAAGAGGACCTCCTTTAAAGTAACAAGACCTCTACCTTACTGAGAGTGTTTTGGGAGGTACTTTCATTTGAGTAGTCCATATGTATATCAAATCTAAGCTTTCCTGCCATCTATTTGGTTAGTTGTCTTTTAGTTTACTTTTTGTGGGAACAACATTACTTCCCTGCAGCAATTTTGAGAGTTCGAAGATGAATCGGTACTCTAACTGATAGCAATCGAAAGGAGTAGACCAACAATAACCCGTACATTAAGTGAAAGACTACTGTCTGATAGATCCCCTAGTGAAATGTGATATGATATCACATTAGTTGAAAATACAACTCTGCGGCACAAATGCTATTTTTCAAGGATTCCGGCTGGAGCTCTGAAGTTCGTGCTGTGTATCGCTAAATTTGATCTAGTTAATGGTGCAGAACAAAACGCAGCTCAAGTGTGCTACAGACGATGAGGCAGCTTCCAAGAAGGCCTATCTTCCATCGGTACTAATAAACTATGGGCGACATAAAATAATGTTATCAGTTGTTTCTACAATTAGTTCTGGGAACAGATCTCAATCAGATTACCCCAAACTGCGCAGTCAAATGAAACGCTTAAATCCTCTCGCTCTATCAAGTCTTTCTTCGGCTCCTTCTTCAAGGCGAAGGTTATAAAGATAGCTGAAGTCAGTTTTGGGGGAGACTTCGGTTCATAACTTGTAGATAAAATTGAGCTTTCTTTTGTGCACAACAATGAAACTCAACAAATGCACGTTTGGATTCTGTTAAAGTTGCATTATGTGACGTTAGGACGATACAAAAATAAACTTTCTGGCTACTTCATTACAAAGTAAGTTGAATCGGCCCTACTGTACCGCAAATAGGAATTGAAAATGCCATTTAGGGAGTGAAGATGCAAACAAATGACACCGTACGAATGTGTTGTAAGACTAAACCATGTAAACCATGTATGTTTACTTTCTGATAGTTTGTTGTGGCACCACAAACTGAGTGCGCCTCACGTGGGCTTTTATTAGCGCCAACGATAGATGTCAGATATGCTCAAAAGTACTTTGCGTTCACATGAAGATTTTTCAATTGAAATATCTCAATGTTCGGTGCAAAACCGTTACATTTTATGCCCCTTTTAGATTTAGATATTTAAATTCGCGAGTTAGAAGCAAGTGATTAAGTAGACTACATGTACATGACGCCAACTTTGTTTGAAATTTGTCCTGTAAGCAGACCATCGATTTCTGAATCTGACAACACCTTCATCCAGTAACACTGACAATTCAGATTAACCCTCAGGTCTGACATCCATTTATAAACTGGGTCATCTTTCAAATAGCTTTCCGAAAGTTTCGAAAATACATATAAGGTTGTAATTGTATCTCCAACGTTGTGATGCTTGAAGTTTGACATACTATCAAAAGTCACTGGTAATCTAATTTTTAAAAAAATACATAGAACTTTTAACTGTTACTGTTTGGCAACCAGCTATGGAACCGTGTTAATTCGAGTGTGCTTGCCAAATGTTGGGTGGCATATAATAATTGTTTTCGGATACTTCTTTAAGTTTCCAAGATGGTGCAGTGCAAGTACTATGCTTGTTCACCAAACTACTGACACATTTGATGCCAGACGCAGAAAATTATGCTACTCCTTTGTTGACAGGCTAAACAAAACCGAAAACAGCATAATACATTGTCTTCTGATGTCAGATCATTTGTCAGTACAGAAATTCCTTTTTTAAAAATGTATATAATATGCAGTATGTATAGTTTGTGTTTCTATGTTTGTACCGTTGTTTGCTATGGGCGAAATACCTGAAATAAAGACATTCATTCATTCATTCATTCATTCATTAACCAGAAAGAAATTCAAAAGACATCCCCTGGCTGGCCCCTTGTTTTTGATAAATGTCCTGCAGTTAAAAGATCATGTAAGGATTAGGGATGACTGATACAATGGACGAACTAGGTTGCTAAAAAACCTTTTAGTCGGTCTTCTCTCACACACCTTACTTAACCACTAAACCACACAGGGAATTCATGTTCCACTTTGTGTCTACCTTTGCTTGCGGACAAGGTTCAATGATGACCTGATAGCATCGCGTAATGGGTAGGAGCGTTTCAAAAGCCTTTGATTTTTCTCCATATATGGTCTTTAGAAGCATTTATGTCTGTATACCACTAATCGTTGTGAGGTCTCTAACCAGGAGGTCTTGCAAGAAAACTACTTAGCGGATGATCTATGCCCACAGACAGTCGACCTGTAAGATTAGTGTTGATGTTTTACCTAAGGCAACCCTGGCTGGAGTAGATTCCTTGTTGATCCAGAAGGAGACCCAGGACAGCACCACAATCAGGATACAGGGGAGGTAGGTCTGGATCAGAAAGTACCCCATGTTTCTCTTCAGATAGAAGTCTACGGTCATGATGATGTACTGTCCTGTAGAAAATATTCAAATCAATCAATCAATGAATGAATCAATCAATTTCTTCAATCAAACCAAATCGTCCAAAAGCAGGAAATGCTGATGCACCCCTGAATTGTGTATTCAATTTTTACAATTGGTTAAAAAAAAAGAAGACAAGAACACAGAAACACACTATATACAAATATGTACATGTACAAACACCATTCAATCTACAACAGGAAATGGCAGACATGGGGTTTCAGTATCAACCATTGTCACTGTCATTGTAAAGTCTTACTGCACAATGTAAAAAAAAGACTGTTCAACCAACACGTCGATGGAGGTTAGATATCCAGGTAATACCACACGCCAAAAAGCAGTTACTCAAGCAACTGGATATGATTCTGGAAACGGTCAGACGTTTCAGGTAGCATCTACTACCTTTCGTTAGTGACTGAAATGGCAAAAGTCAGTCACTGACGAAGCAAACAGTTTATCCTGTACAGTTTGGTGACTTTTGCTCACCGTGTTTTTTTAAAGAATCTGTCTTCGATTCCTAAAGTTAACAAAGCTGTTTGGTTTGCCTTTCTGACTGGGATCATATCACAATTAATTTATGGATCTAATATTCCATGGGTCACACAAAGTACTCCATAATGGTGACATGTCTGCCTCCGCCAATAAGGCTTTAAGACCAGGTCAGCAGAAGCTCGTTTGTCACGCATGGCTTTTATGTATGAGTCTGGTCACTGGAAACGGTTAGCCTCCATAGCATGTCAAAAACTGGAGGTTTTGGGGGTCTTCATGGTCTTTGGGAGCTTTTATGTGCTATTTTCTGATTGCATATAGACAACATAGCCGGCCTGGTTGAATTACCCCCGTTAGAAAACAGCCGAAGACTACCAAACCCCCAGTTCTATAAGCCTGCTACGAAGGCTAGGAAACGGTTTGGTCCTTCTTCTGATCTACATTTTTGCTAGCCTCCGTAGCAGGCTTATAGAACTGGGGGTTTGGTGGTCTTCGGCTGTTTTCTGATTGGCCCAGTTTAAAAAACGGGGGTAATTCAACCAGACCGGCTATGTTGTCTATATGCAGTCAGAAAATAGCACATAAAAGCTCTCAAAGACCATGGAGACCCCCAAATCCCCCAGTTTTTGGCATGCTATGGAGGCTACATTTTTGCCACTTTTGCCATCACTACACAATTGGTTGAAATATTCCAACATTTCATGACTAGTCATGGTGACAGCACACTCAAGTTATATCAACTTTGTTTTATGCCGCCAACAACGCAGAGGACAAATGCAGGACAGGGCAATACTCATTTTCACTTGAGTCAAGTGAGGAAAGTCGTGTGAAGTGCCTTTCCCAAGGGCATAAAATAGGTGCCATGACAGGACTCGAACTCGGGACCTCTCGGTCCTACCGAGACGAGCACTCTGCCGTTACACCACACGACCCCACAAAATCTTTAATTTTTCCAACTTGTCAAATATAGACGATTCTTCGCTGAAAAGCAATCGTCCAATCTGACGTCTAGTGAAAAGAAAAGTTTCTTGATAAATGCGTTCCTCATTGGAAATGGATGGAGTTCAACATTCCAGCCCCCCCTTCCCTTACTAGGTCGGCTAAGATAAGAAGTTTGCTCAATAAAAGGTCTCGGAAATAATTGCTAATGCCGATAAAGTATGACACCTGTGGATTGGGTCTGTTCGATACCGAATGGCTGTCAATCCGTGGTGCTTGTTTAATTTCACAGTAGGTGGATTAATATTGAAGACTTCGAGAAAGCAGTGGCCTCACCCATCCATCTCAGGTAGACGTAGGCGTTGTGTGTGTGTAATGTATTGTCGATGTGACACGGGCGTTGCAATTGGACACAGAAGCGCGCAGAAAAGGGGTTTGAGTTCGCCTCATCAGGCACGGTTTGTTTTTCCGTGACCCGTGACACGGCTGCCTCTCGGGAGCACCTGCGCTCCAGGGCCGCTTTCGTCTCGCGTGTACACGGTGCACCGGTCCCGCAGTCTCCACGTCTCTTCAAGCGGAGTGCCATCCTGACCTCGCTTATTACATAATGTAGCAGTACATTATTGTACAGTCTCAACGGAGCGAAAAATTTTTTCCTAGCTACTACCGATCATATTAAATGAAACGTTTATGCAACGCTATTGTACACTTCAAATGATGCAGTGTTTCGATTGTGTAGTATTCTCGCACTTACTAGTATGACGGAAAACTGACGGAATGACGGAAAATAGTCTCAGTCCTATGACACACAAATAATGTACTGTTTTGATAAATGTACATTCGCGCACTTGAATTTATCCAACGCTCTAGTACACAGGGGTTACACAGGCCGTCCAAAAACTGCGTCAATTCTAACACATCAAATTATGCATTGTTGGTATCTTCACATTTTGTTGTAGCTACATAATCACAATGTTGATACGAGTATATCATAACTCCAGCCTGGGTACACAAAAATATTGGTATAAAATTATCTGATTTTACTCATATCGCACATAGATTGACAATCTACAACCATCCCTCAACAGAGACGGGGGGCGCCACAGACTTTCTGCAACCTATAATCCACTGCTCACGAAGTCATGTGTGTTATCTGTGTGACATCCCGGAAGCGGTGGATTGTTCATTCCTTGAAAAAGACTGGAGTTGTACAGTCGAAAATTTGGGTTAGTCCAATTTCTTGTGTTGGAAATTACATTTAATATTGATTCATATATATTGACGACCTTCACAAAAAAAGTTGTTTTGGCATTTTCAGTCGCGGTACATGCGATGAAGGATAGGCTGATCACATGGCAACGGCTGGTGGGTCTGCCTTTCCTGATGGAAAGATTCGTCCATCACCAGACTGGCTCAAGGAAATGCGATACAGAACAACCTTCAATTGGCTTGGGACTATTTTTAGTGTTCTTTATGGAGCAAGCATGTAATTTCGCCATGCAAAATATGAGATACATGTACGGGTTTATCTGCCGGATTCATCAATGCGTGTCCATCTATAAGGAAAGATTCGTCCACCAGTCTGGCTCAAGGAAATGCGATATAGAACAACCTTCAATTGGCTTGGGACTATTTTTAGTGTTCTGTATGGAGCAAGCATGTAACTTCTCCATGCAAAATATGAGCTACATGTACGGTTTTACCTGCCAGATTCACCAATGTGTGTCCATCTATAAGGGTGAAGGACGACACATGTCGTCACTGTTATAATACCGGATGGAAGTAAGACCTATGGATATTCAAATATTGACGGCAATGCTTGAAGCTAGATGACGGACGTCCATCAACTGGAGTTAGTGTGTATTAGTGGCTCAGTCCCTTCGTTGCTTCACCGGGTTCTGAAGACGTCAAACTTGCTAGGTTAGAAACTCCAGGGGATCAGTGGATGGCGCTGGGCTGCATGTATGATTGATACGGTTTTAAAACTGCATACCTGATTCCTCATAAAACTGGGGTCTCAGGAGAAAGGTGCCATTACCAAGATAGGGTTCTGGAAATCCCCCGGCCGAGACCGATGTGTGCTGTGTGGCCTGACACATGCCGCTCTGGACCGTCTAACGACCAGGGAAATCACGGCAAGACTTTTAGATAATCGGTCACAACTGAGACACTACCATTTGGCGAGGTTTTTTTTTAAACGATATTGTTGGACTTCTGTACGTGCCAAAGAAAGAAATGCCACAGATATGTCATTTGAAGTCAGAAAGTAAGTCATAGACCAGTCACACACATGGCTACATGTATTCCATTGACAGGGAAAAGATATCTAGTCTAAAAAGATGTAACATAATTTTTATAGTTCATCCAAAAATTCAGCGATATTGTATTGGACTTCTGTACGTGCCAAAGAAAGAAATGCCACAGATATGTCAGGAAGTAAGTCTTAGACCTTTTACACACGTATGGCTACACGTATGCAATTGACAGAGAAAATATGTCTAGTTTGAAAGATATAGCCTCTACCAGGCTTCGGGAGGCGGCTGCAAAGAGTAGAAATCAGCCAAATAGAGAGATAACATGCCGGGGGAGTTGGTCTGCTGGCAATCTGTTCTCTCCAGAAGACCAACTCCTTTGGCATGCTATCTCTCTATCTAGCCGATTTCTACTCTTTACAGCTGCCTCGCGAAGCCTGGTCGAGGCTAGTAGCATACTCCATCCAGAAAAATCAGCGATCTAACTTTCTTCCCATTGTGCATCCGGATTTTCAAAGCACCAACAGAGATACTGTTAAAATCGCAACACCATTCGAATCGAGGGAGACGAATCTAAGTATACTATATAAATACCGAAACTTGTGATTAGCCCACTGGATTGTAACACTTTATCAAAGACTTGTGCTAGCCCTTATTGTTTGAATAGATAAGATATGTTAGGTTTTATTCGACATTAGGTCTTATCCAACATTTATTTTATTGTTTGTTACTCTCTTTATGTAGTTTGCCATACATTGTACCTTGTGCAATTGTCGTGGAATAAAGTTCTTCATGTAAACCATTCTATTAGACTTGTCTACTCCCTTTAATTACTAAATCCATTAACGTGCTCGTTAAACCTTTGAAACTTTACTGTGTGTTCTATAACTATGCCTTTGAAGTATGCAGCACAGTCCCTTTGCGGAAAAGCCCAAGTCTCTGGCGCCACACGGTGCATCTGTACCGGCTCAGATAAATGTGCATCCCGTGAAGACCGTAACTGGCTCATGCCTTTAGCAACTCTGTAGGGAGGCAGATGCTGTGTCAATATCAGTCTCGTAATGTGGAGATGCATCAGTTATCTCTTTTTCTTACTTCACTGGTATGTTTTTAACATTTCACTCCGTCTTATCTTCATCTCAGGCTATTTGTAAACCCGTAACTGAAAAAAAAACTGGCAACGTCACATCATGATTTGTCCAGAAATGATGATATATATATACATGCACGCCGGATACCCGTGACAGCAAACCTACAGATAATACTTTTATGGGAATATTGAAACATCAACAGATTAATGTTGATGATTTTTTTTCTTTATCGAAAAATAATTTACTTTGGCAAGTTGCAAGTCTTGATTCTGGGTTCTAATTTCAGACAACATCACAAAAAACATGGGAAACAGATGAGTACATGCTGTATCATCCAAGCCTCAAGGTAACCATTAACTAGAGTTCTTGTCTTTATTACTGCTGGCATTATCCTGTGCCAGAACCTCCCGCGGCGTGCGCGGCTGTAATATCTGTCAGACTTCCTCCTGCATGAAGAGATAATAAAGCATTGTTATCTGCTCAGCCCAGGCAATCATACGCATTGCCCCCTGGGAGTCTGAGTCAGGGGGACATCGGAGGCTACGGTAACTCCAGCAAGGGTTTTCCAGTACCGATCCTGGGCGGACTAGTGTAGCGTCCACCAGGCCTTTCTACGGGATCCTGGGCGGACTAGTGTAGCCTCCACCAGGCCTTTCTATGGGATCCTGGGCGGACTAGTGTAGCCTCTACCAGGCCTTTCTACGGGATCCTGGGCGGACTAGTGTAGCCTCCACCAGGCCTTTCTGCGGGATCCTGGGCGGACTAGTGTAGCCTCCACCAGGCTTTCAGCTTACCGTCCGTTAAAAAATTGTTAATTTATTACTACAGATCTCGCTCAAACGACATTTTTTTAACCGACAACTTATGTACCTGGACCACTACCTGTCGATGCCATAACTGTTAGCGATTTGATTACTCATTTGTTTGTTATCATCATTTTAAATTGTTGCTTGTTTGTTTGTTTGTTTGTTTTTGTTTCTATGTTTCTAGAGGAGTCGGCCTAGTAGAGGAACTCTATGTTCCTGTTGCCGGCTCCTCTCAGAATTTTAATTTCTGTAAAGCTGAATAAATAAATAAAATTTGTACGGGAAAACGGATCGTAGAATTCGGCAAATTACAAAAAAGACAGTAAAATTGGCCAAGGGAGTCCGGCCGCGGGGAGGTAGTTTCTTTCCCTCCTCCGCGGCCCAGTCAAACCTACAAGGCGGCCAAACTCCCCCGGCAAATATTCTCCTATATATAGCCAGCGTAGTTAGTCTGGTAGCGACTAGGACTAGTGGGGGGTACTCGAGTAAAAGGAAGAGATGTACGAGCAGCAACTTCACTCTTAAGACAAAATACTGTCAGGAATGATTTTGAAGAGAAAAAATAAATGAATAAAAATGTGGCGATCGGGCACCCTATTCCTTTCTTCGGGCACATTTTTAGGACAGTCGTAATGAAGAATGCTGAAGGTCCAGTACATTTCAGGACTTCGCTGTACATCACATATACCCTCACATGATAGGCATTGCTAGCATCTTCGTTATTAACTTTTAAAAATCTACGTACAAGATCAGAATGATATTTTTTTACAATCATTTATTGACAAAAACGCCCTGGATTTGCAATAAAATTCACACGCGACAGTGTAAAAAATGCCCTAACTGCAAGGAAAATTCTAACTTTTAAGTTTAAGTCTTTTGGATAGTCTTTTTGATAGAATAGACTATGCCGCTTTCAATTTTTCATCCAGTTAATGATCCATCTATATCCAGAGTGAGTGTTCTCTGACCGTCCCTGAGCTGAATTCGTCAACACGGGCTGTTCCTAATCATGATGAACAGCCACACTAAATGTGGTTCGTGGGGGAAATATCCTTCCGCCTATTTATCTACGGCGGAGGAATTATGAGTCCAGGACGGTGCCATTATTGGCATTAATGACCAGAAGGTTGCTTGTGCCACGGAGGTGACCCCTGGTGAGCCTTAATAGTGACTAGTGGGCAGTCCGCCGCCGTACAACTTCAGCGCGACGCAGCTGCACTCAACGGCCATGAAATTGGACTGTTGATGGCTCCGCCCACTTTGTCAATGGGCGGAGTCAAGGGGAGAGAGAAAATCAAATTCCTGAGCGATGACCTCATTCCGGATCCTTGGCATTTTGCCTGGCGGTGGAGAAAATTTTGTCCACCGGTTCGCACACTTTATTCTTTTCTCGAATGATTCGGGCTAGCGCGCACGGGCGCTCACTCCAGATCACCCGTTACCGTAAGCCAATTAACCCGGTTAGTAACACGTGTCAGCCGGCTAATTTTGTCAACGATTTAGATACATGTATCCCGACCTCTTTGTTATTCTTAAAGGATTTTTACACCTTGTGCACAATTTGAGAATAGAATTATTGCCATGATAAGAGACATGCATTGTACGTCTACTTCTAAGGCATAGTTCGTATTTCCCCAGAACTATCGTAGACTGGAACTCGTTGCCACCGAGCACAGTTGGGGCATCATCACTAAAAAGCTTTAAACAACTTCTGCAATTAAATGTGCAAAGATTAAGTGTTCGGTGTCATATAGCTAGATGCCACCGCGCCGCGTGCCTGCGAAGCTGGTGTGTTACGCCGAAGGGCGGTTATACCGGCTATACTGATACAGATACAGAAGGCAACCAAACGGTTCAGGACAGAACAAAATAACAAAAAAACAAACAACAACTGATCCACCGTCGTTCGTCATATTTTCCCTACCAGATTTGGATATTTTCAGCTCCTTCCCAGCTTCATGTTTTTGCAGCTCGTACTGGTTCAGGCGCTGGTCTTCGTCACTGATGCTGACGGAGTTCTTGTAGTCGTCTTCGTACTTCCAGTGGAACTCTATCTCATCCTTAGGGTAGCCATCTTCCAAGGTTCAAGAATTGCAAAACAAAGAGAATATACATTAAGATCTTTACGCGTGCTTAAATATTATTTTTAAGCTAGCTTTAGTTTGTGCGTAAAGTGTTTAATGGCACTCTTTTAAGCAACATTTAAGCACCGTAAAGTAAGCTTAAATCTTAATATTTACGCTACATTTAAGTGTCTTAAAGTGTCCTTAAATGTAGTGATTTAAGCTAGCTTAATTCATCCGTAAAGGTACTAAATTGCACTCATTTATGCAACTTTTAGTTCCTAGATAACATAATATGTCACTGTATCTAGATAAGTGGTGTGTCCTAAAGCATTGCCTGACCAGACGGAACAGTAAAAGAAAGTGGCAAGCCAAAATGTCCAATATAGATTATCTATGTATGTCATCACAAGCTTAGTCATAGCATTGATTTTTTCGCCTTGGCGAGACCAGTAGGTGGTCGTAACTCACCTCGCCTCATCATTTTGATCACACGCCAGGGACCTGGAATGCGATATTGTGTCCTTAACTGCCTTTCGTCAATACAGAACGACTTCCAACTTCAAAGGACAACACATTTGTACAGTTACGATTGTAATGATCTGTTTCAGCAGTAGCAGCCAGAGGGAGACATTGTCAATGACTTAGGGAGGCCAAAGTAAAAAGTTCCAAGGAAGCATTTTTGAAATGACATTACATAAGAATTAAGAATTGCTGACCATTGAAACGCCATACACTGTTAGAACGTGCTACAAAGTACAGTCAGTGAAAATTTCAGTGTCAAACCTTGTCGGGAAGTTGAATTTTATTGCTTGTGAAAATGGAAAAAAATTACAAAAATCGGCTGTTAGATTGAAGACCTGGTAAAACGCCAATTCTGTCCCCTTGCGTGGCATTACATGTTCAGCAACACATTTGTTTTTAATGTTCCCTTTTTCCTTCACCTGCACCCGAACACTCTCATCTCTGGTGACCAATTAGTAAAGTTAGAAAAGATACTTAAACGCGCCCCCATGCCGTCAAAACTCATCAAAAGTTCTCAGAAGTTATGTTTTAGTCTACTAATGACAGAAAGCTAGTCTAAGTCCTGCTGTTTATACATATAAGACCCCACCACCCACGCAACTGTAAATGTATAATTCAGTGTCGTCCTTGTGTCCTTCCCAGAGGTAGACCGTAGTATGGGGAAGATATTGATGAGTGGTTAGGCCCGTCCCACGCCTATTCAGCCTATTTCCCTAACGGTCGGTATTAAATTCCCCCGTAATTGTTACTGCAACAATGTCAAGGCACGGAATTAGAGTTGATAGATGGATCCCACTGATGAGTAGCCCCCCAATACCAGAGCAAAATCTCATTAAAACTGCCCCCGGTTCGGAGACCATTGATTGATTAGCTCTGTGGCTGTTCCATCATTGCTGTAACATCACGAGTAACGCTCATTATGGAGGTGATTGACGTGCAGTAATGATCATTAGGTAAGCAGGGACGTTAATCTGTACATCTAATGTACGGCCATTCCTGCAGCATGCATACACTACCAAAAATGCTTTTTCTTGTTACCTCCATGAAAAATGGAGGTATTGTTTTTGGCGTGTTTGTGTGTGTGTCTGTGTGTGTGTCTGTGTGTTCGTGTTTCCGCACATTTGTAGTCAGCATAACTTCATAACGCCTTTATGGATTGTGATGATATTTGGTATACTGGTAGGTTTTAGGAAGATAAAGGTCAAGGTCAAATATGGGCCTCCTGGTGAATGACCTTGGTACTGCAGCAGAACTTCCGGTTTTGTATCTTTTGTCTTGTTTTTCTTGTTTTTCCTGGTACAAAGAGAATGTATCTTGTAGCAAGAAAATTATTCTTTGAACAAGAAATTAAAGAATCCGCGTAGCAAGAAAATTCAAGAAACACATGTGTAGATAGTAGAAATATTTTCTTTCTTACGAAAAAAAGAAGAATAGAATTCCTTGTGTAAGAATCAACATACAAAATCTTTGAAGAATGTTTCTTGAATTTTCTTGAAAATCCCAACTGGCAAGAAAATATTTCTCAACATAAGAAAAAAAATAAAAACTAGAATTCCGAGATCTCATACCTCCATGAAATATGATCTTGATATGTAAATGTAAATTTCTTCTTTAATTGTGCAAATGACCTCTGCATTAACATGATATATGCATCGTGATGTATGTTAACTTTTGATTAACTTACAGATGTCCCAAGTATGACCTTCTCATCATTCACCATTACGAAATTATAGAAGTTTCGCATTAATTATTCAAATTAGGTCATCATTTGCATAATTAGTATCTGTTGAAGTTCCACCTGCCATAGGTTACATACATTACATGTATGTAAGTAGTATAATGTAAAACACTGTAATTATAGAATTTCCTCATTAATTATGCCAATTAAGTCCTCATTTGCATAATTTGCATTTAATTATGTACATCTCTCTCTCTCAGCTACCTACACACCAAAAGTAATGAAAATATGTTGTTCCTGTCTGGACTTTTCGCATTAATTATGCAAATTAGGTCATCATTTGCATAATTAGTATCTGTTGAAGTTCCACCTGCCATAGGTTACATACATTACATGTATGTAAGTAGTATAATGTAAAACACTGTAATTATAGAATTTCCTCATTAATTACGCAAATTAAGTCCTCATTTGCATAATTTGCATTTAATTATGTACATCTCTCTCTCAGCTACCTACACACCAAAAATAATGAAAATATGTTGTTCCTGTCTGGACTTATTGGCTTTTAAACATTTTGCCAGAAAGTGCCCTGCAGTTCCAGAACAAGCCGCTAGGAGGCCCAAACTCATATGACTTCTTCCCAAGCACGAGAGCTACCTTCCATCAAAATTTCATGACCCTAGCATGTCCAGATCGCGAAATATCAAAACCGGAAGTTGCGCTGCAGTACCAAGGGAAGCCACTAGGGGGACCAAAATCTAATCATTTCCAGTTTTCGTCACACCCTACCAACACACCAAGTATGAAACCAATCCATCCAGGCGTTCTTGAGTTATCTTGTTGACCAACAGACGGAC